CAGATTATTTGATTGTTTAGTTCCATAATTATACTCATCTGGAAATCATCGTTTTTATCAGTCCTATTTAATTAAGTTTTTATAATAATCTTTCTACTTTTCAGCAGAAATAGGGTTACATTAATTTGTGTGGTGTTATTCCAAAATTTATTCGAATCAGTGCTTCTTAAATTTGATAATTTGTTTACTATTAGAGTCTCTGCTTTTTGACTCCCGTGTGCGAAGCACAAAAAGGAGTCTTTGCAGTTACCCTGTCTGTATGTCTGTATGCATGTATGTATGTATGTATGTCACTTTGTTTTGTTCCACCATTATCTCAAGAACAACTAATCAAATTTTGATGAAACTTGGTACATAAATGCTCCGGGATAATGCGCAGAGTTAATCAGGTTTTTGTAAAAATCCATGAATATTAATTACCTAATTTGCATAATAATTTGCTGATTTTTAGCTGTTCCATGACTTTTCCACTGATATCTGAAGAACCACTCATTGGATTTTGATGAAACTTGGCACATGGATGCTCTGAACTATTGCAAAGATTTGATTAGTTTTGGGTAAAAATCCATGAATATTAATTACCTAATTTGCATTATAATTAACTGATTTTAAGCTGTTCCATGACTGTTCCACTGATATTTGAAGAACCACTTATTGGATTTTGCTGAAACTTAGCACATGGATGCTCTGAACTAATGCGCAGATTTGATTAGTTTTGGGTAAAAATCTGTTTAGATTAATTACCTAATTTGCATAATGATTAGTCAATTTTCGTCTTTTCCATTGATATCTCAAGTACTAATCATAACATTTCAATAAAACTTGGTACATATATCAGTACATATTAAATACCTAATTTGCATAATTAATTAATTTTCAGCTTTTTCGATTTCAAGTAGTGATGATCACGTTACAATGAAACCTGGTACATAGTTACTTGAGGACTGTGTAGAAACCTAATTAGTTTTGGGGTAAATATTCGTGCATATTAATCACCTTATTAGCATAATTAGTTAATTTTCAGCTTTTCACCTGATATCTCAAGTACATGTACTAATCATCACATTTCAATGAGACTTGCGACATAGATCTTCCAGAACTATGCAGAGACCTGATTAATTTTGGGGTAAATAATTGTGCATATTAATTACCTAATTTGCATAATTAGTAAATTTTTTGCTGTTCCATGGCTGTTGTACTTATGTGCAAACCTTATTAGTTTTAAACTTTAATCTGTTCATATTAGTTACCTTATTTGTATAAGCTTTTCCATCAATATCATTTTGAATTAATTTGTAATGTGTCTCCAATACTCTCAGCACACAGGAGTTCTTTCTAAGCTTTCTTTGATTTGATTGACTGTAATTTGTCCACATTTTGTGACGCCTTTTTTAAAACCAACTTAAGTCATTTCAGCCCTCCGTGATGCCTAAATTAGAGTAATGCCTGTTTAAGAGATTATACGGTATTTTTGCTTTCCGCCAACCATGAAGGCCACACTAGAGAAACTTGATTGATGCAGTCAACCACACGGCGGCACGCAAATCAAGATCACCAATCTACTGATTGGCTGGAAAGTTTCTCAGCCAGGTCGACTCTGGTAGTGATTGGTTAGCTATTTGATTAGATCTTGCAGCCTGGCAAACAAACATGTAAAGTATATTGCTAGAAAGACATCATTTGTTGTCCATTTTTATTTCTAATCACAAGGGACAGTAGTGAAAAGTTTGCATATGCGCCAGTACGAACACAAGGGAGCAATTTACTGGCCATTTTTGAAAATTTCCCGGGGGGGGGGGGTATTCTGGGAGAGGGGAGTAATGTTTATCTGGGAAAATTTACAAATAATTAAAAAAGTTACAGCCATCGTGCAGTGTGTGTTCGAACTTCATGTAAACAAACAATGTATTTTATACGTGTTGCGATTGTTGCATGTGTCCCATATCAAACATGATGCGGTGCAACGACTGTAGCTACATTACACCAAAATCAAAGTATGAATACAGTGTGTAAAGGTGTAAGCCCAGGTTCCAATATCAGGGGTTTTGTTAAACAAGGGAACAGGGGTGCAGTGCCTTCATGCCATGGCCATGCACCTCCTTACCCTGGGGAGCAGATCCTTTGGCAACCATAAAATTCTGATTGACCAAGGATCACATGTGGACACAGTCTTCAACTGTGATCTGTCTGATAGTAATTTTGGCCCCAAGGAAGCCATAGAATGCTCCATTTTAACTTAGAATTATCAAAAACTCCATACCCTGGTGGGGAGAACCCTATCTCTCCCACTTGGTGGCGCCACTGAATTGCAGTGCTCCCTCTTGCAGTTTTTTTCAAGAAAACCCCTGCAATATTATTCTATTGGTCATTAGAAACCTCTCATTTGAGATGTAAAATTCGAAATGTCAATAGTTAATGTTTTATAAATATTAATAGATGTCTAATTTTAAGTTGACATATCCATAGATGCTTTATTTTGAAAATGTTGGCGGTTGCAGCTGCTATTTGTCTTGTGAAGGCATTGTTATGAGCATGGACAATGTTGAGTTTCTGAGCCAATCGATTTTAAATATTCAAATTTTAATGAAAGCTGATGATTGGTATTCATAATTCACAGATACCTTTTTTGTGCTACGAAAAATTACTTAAGAAACTTTGTTTTCATAACCATGCATGGCAGCATATGATGACGATAATTTATTTGACTGTGTATTTTGCGATGACTTCTTACCATATGAGTTTCCCATGGTCTGACAAACTGGTGTTAACTATGGAAATGAATTAAATGAACAGTGTCTGTTTCAATTGACGTCTCTAAGAATTGTATAATGGGATTATTTATTCAAGCCATTTGATCCAGATGAACAATAAGTTAACAAAAACTAGAACGCATTTGTAACTTTGGTGGCATTGAATTACTATGACTTTGTTTAGGAAATCTTTGTGATTCAATAACCGCAAAAAGCCACAACGAGGTATTAAACACAGTTTCGTTCATTTTGTAGCTCGTTGCTACAAGTAAACTTAATTACGTGAAAATTCACGTATCAGAATAAAGAGGGAGACACACACAAGTTAACGGGTTGTAGGTTAGCGGTGAAGTGCCACTTTTTATTGCGTAACACGTGATCAGCTCATGACAACATACATGTACCTGGCGTAATGTGATTAGCTAATAAGGTCATGGTCATGACACGTGATTATGTAACCCTAACTCAATGAATAAAAGTACAAAAAACCATAGCAAAGTCAAAGATACAACAGTTCACATTGTCATTATCGTCTGCACTCACTGTCCACATTGATCTGTTTCACACAATCTGTTTCTATAGTAATGTAATTTCTAGTTTTAATAAAATATTGTAACCATGACAAAAAAAGGTTGGTTTCAAAAAATCATAAACATTTAGTATTCACAGTTAAAATTACACAAGGATACTATAAAAAACAACTTGACACCAATGCTAGTCACATGATGTCGAGTCTAATCTCTTCCAGTGCATGTTATCTAATCTTGTTTAATCCACTTTTGGGGAGTCATCACATGTGCATGTTTATGCGACAGACTGCCATTGAATGTTGTTGTTTTTTGTTTTGTCTTTTTTTAGAAAATGTTTTTGTGCCAGGCAACAGTTGAATATCACTGTTGTCTCTCCTGAATTTTTTTTTGTATGTGCAATTGCAAGTGCTAGTGCTGACACATAGTACATTTTTGCCACAGAAGCCATATTCATGTTTGGGACTACATGACAAGGCTGTGTGGCCATCTCTCAATCAAATGGCAATTTAATGCGCTATCCTGGCGTCAACCAGGCTCGGTCGAACACAAGCACCTGCAGACCTTAACCAAGGTTTCCCTAAAGGTGCATCTGTTAGTGAATGAATCTCGGCCTTCCTATTGAGTCTGTGACACACTCCCCCAGGGTAGGGTTTGCCCTTTATTAGGTGTTAATGTAGGATTTAATCTTCGGTCTACCGGTCATGAGTCTGCTGAGACAACCATGCTAACAGTGACTGGTTCCGAATGTTGTTTTTTACAAACGACATCTACCCATAAACCTTTGCATCTTTATTGTGTGTTGAGGGTCGGCAAGGTTTTTTTTGTAAGCTGTAATCAATTGCTTTTATTTTCATAATAATGTAATTTAAATAAATAAAAAACATAAATTTGTAGACATGGGCAAGGTGTAAAATGTAATCAGCTATTTTATTCGTCAGTAATTTGTACAAATATCTTACTTTTTGTAAGCATATAACGCATTTTACAAATTAAATGTCGTAATTCATACGCAATTTCCAATTATGATTCTTAAAAACAAATTATCAAATATATTATAAAAATGTAATTAGAAATTTGCTTTATCTATAAAGTGTAAAAAACTATTATTTTACTGTAAATAAAACTTTCAAATTATTTCCTGTAAAAACGTAAAATGTCATTTCTATTTCCTGAAACCTGTTCCAGCTATATCCCCCCTTGCCCTCCTCTGTGTTGTTATCATTGCTTAGGACTTAGTTCCACGGTATGCACAGGTGACAACCCCCTCTGTTTCAATTTCCAGCTGGCTATCGGCTGCCCTTGCCTTTTTCATTTTCGCAATCTGATTTAATGATGATGGAAATTCACAGAATTTGGAAAAAGTCATTGTGACTTGGTATCAGGCTGAATAACAAAAGAATATGTGTGGTTCCAATGCCCATCCTAAAATGTATTGCCTATCCTAAATTTATTTTTTATATGAAAAATACAATGCAAAATCACACACGATTTCAATGAAACCTGAATGAACTGACTCCATTGGCCAGAAACTTGGCCAAATTGGTAGAACATTTACTGTGAACATTATCAAACATGTGACAAGCCTCGATCTTAAGGACACCAGCGAAATATTCACAGCTACAAATTTTTGCTCAGAAAAATACCCACAATTCCTTAGACTGCACATGACACTGACTGCACATGACACTATCTTAAAAATGGCTTATCCTCAATTTTTCAGATCTCTACTGTTCGGTGTAGCCTTGGTTGGTCAGATTACCAGAATTGGCAGAATATCTTCAACTATGTCATTGCATGTCAAATCCAGAGAAAAAGTTTACCCAGGTTCTGGTGGGATAGAAAGGGCTTATGTACCAGATGATAAGGTGAGCTGGGATTGTGAGTGGACTGACTATTCCCCAACGAATTATACAGCACCAATTGTTGCAGAGCATCCAGTATGGGCAGATCCAGATATAATGTAAGTTGCATGTCTGTAGATAACTAACAAAACATTGTCAGTCTTTGGGTGTTTTTATTATTTGAGGTTATGCAATGAAATTCAGATCCTGGTCAGTTAATAAGGATTATTATAAAAAAAAAACAATTTGTTTAGCTCTGGCTAGTAGATGACTATGTTGCATATTACACTGACATGTTAGGACCTAGGATGCTTTGTACTTTTTCCATGGGAATCTTCACTAGCTTAAAAATACCTGGATCAAACGTGCAAACTCATTAAGCAAATAGATTGCAGGTTATG